CCCGACTGAACTGTCTCTCTAGCCTCCCCTGACACTTTTGTCTTACACAGAACTGTGTTCAGGGGTTTTCCAGGCATCTTCCTTCCTACCTCTGACCTGCTTCATCTTGGGAAGTTGGATGAGCCTTGGGCTTATGTTGTCATCTCTAGCCACCTGCCGGGGAGGTCCTGGAGTTGTCAGCTGTTTATGCTGAATAACTTTTCTCTGGTTGCTGTGCTCACCGACTCTAGCTGTCCTAGCATGCTTTCAATGTGCAGGGCCTGTTCCTGGCTCCATCTCTGCTGTGAAAACCAGTAAGTTGCTTTTCTCTCTTGTTTATCAATCTGCTGTGAGCTTGGTTAGGGAATAGTAGCTTCCAGAATTTAATTGCTGACCACCACATCTTGTACCTTGGCAGACTGATCAGGGAGTACATTCTGCAAAGCCCCCAGGCAACCAGTCAGCTCCCTCTAAGGCTGTCTCCCTCCCTCCCTCTCTTCCTCCTTTCCTCCCCCCTCCCTTTTCCCATCTTTCTGACTTCTCCAAGCACTATTTATGTCACATAACTGTAATTGATGTCTCTGCATTTTTTTAAAGAGCCGTTATGAAAAGGTTGTTTGCTTCTTCCTCCTTGACTTTGTGAAGAGATTGTTTAGGCCTGGAACAATCACAGTTCGGTCCTGGCTGTTTTTTCCTCCCAGGAACTGGTAAAGCACTTGTCAGGCATTGTCTTCACAGCTGCTGATATCCTGGGCACTTCCGTGGTCACGGGTGCATGTTGCCAGGAGGAGGGCACACAGACTTCCTAAAGCCCTTTGGGTCCGCTCTTGGTTGGAGGTTTTAAGGGCCAGCCTGGTCTACATAGTGAGTTCTAGGCCAGCTGGGCCTACTGGAAGACCCTGTCTCAAAAAGACCCCCAAAAAATTATTTAAAAAAATTTAAATTTATGTATGACTGTTTTGCTTGCGTGTATGTAAGTGTATCACATGCACGCAATGCCCATGGAGGGCAGAAGAGGACATCAGATCACCTGGAACTGGAGTTATAGGCAATTGTTGACTGCCATGTGGGTGCTGGGAATTGAACCTGGGTCCTCCGCAAGAGTAGCCAGTGAGTGCTCTCTTACCTGCCTGGTCATCCATCTCTCCAGCCCCTATGACAGGTTTCTGAAGTTGACTTAAATGCTGTGAGTTTTGGTCCATGCTTCTCTTGCCTCCCAGTCCTGACAGCAAACATGATTGGGAGCTGCTGGCTGTACAGCATCTTTGTTCCTCTTCATCTTTTTAGCATCTAACCCAGAAGCAGAACGTAAGCCCAGTGACTGAGGTTTTTGCAGTGTTTTGTATGGTGTTCAGTTGAGCAGTTTGGCCCTTATAGATCACATGGCCTTGCCAATTCCTGGTCTACTTTTTTTATTATTAACTTTTTTTTTTTTTTTTTTTTTTTTTCTGCTTTTTTTTTATTTTTTTTTTTTTTTTTTTTTTTTGGTCTTTTTGAAGCAGGGTCTCTCTGTAGCCCTAGCTGGCCTGGAACTCACTATGTAGCCCACGCTGGCCTTGAACTCACAGTGATCCACCCGCCTCTGCCGCCTAAGTGCTGGGATAATAGGTGCTACTACGCCCAGCCCTATTAACCTTTTAAAGAAATAATACTGTTATTAGAGCATGAAATAATTTTTTAAATGAAACTAAGTGCCTCTGGAAATAGCTTAGCTCTGCGTAAGCATCGTGGCTTTTCTGTGGGTTCCCTGTGGATTCCCTGGGCCTTATCTCAGGTGGCCTCAGACAGGCCTATGAACTGGGCAGAGCACAGGTTCTAATTCCTCTGAGGAAATGTGGTTGGAGCACTGTTCTGCTGGCTGGAATCAGACCTTGTGATCCAGATGGGATTAGAACTGAATCTCTGACTCCAGGAGTCAGCAGAGGGCTTTGCCTTTTCTGAGCTCTTCCATGACTTTCCACTGTCTGCATTTGTAAGTTGGGTTCAGTCATTCATTAATGTGTGCTCTGTGTCAGATATGATGTTGTGGTAAATATTCACAAAGAAAACTCCTGCCTCTGGTTTAGAGGGATGGGCAAATGGATTGCTAATGACGGGACACCAGTGCCTGCAATACAGATATAAATGTTAGAGACCATCCAGAGAGGAGCAGCCGGTATGTCCATCTGTGGTAGAGGGTAGAGAAGGCACTGCTGGAGGATGGAGCTGGGGCCACAAAGGATTGGATTCCTGAACATCTAACTCCATAGTAGGTCGTGTGAGGGACTGCAGGCATGAAGGAGCCACAGGGGTATTGGGAGACAGCATGAAAGGCTTAAAAGTGAGTTGGAGCTGGAGTCCTGACTCCATAGCCTATTGCTGTGTGAGGGTCCTAAGCCTCAGGTAACCGTCCTAAGGAGGAGATAGAGTGCTGTCACCTTAAGAACTGGAAGCGGGTGGGGGTAGGGACAGTCAATGAATAAAATAACAGATTTTTCTGAGATTGCAGGATTAGCAAGAGACAAGGTCAGCTCGTTTTGAAAAGATTTACATAGACTGCAGAAGAACAGGTTTATCATGTGAGAACAGTAGATTCCATCTCAGATAGGGTGAGTTTGAGGTTCAGGCCATACATTGCATATAAACCATAAGACAACCAGAAGTGGGAGTCACTGTGCTTGGATTACTTTTTTTTGGGGGGGGAGGGGGTTGGGTTTTTTTTGAGACAGGGTTTCCCTCTAGCCCCAGCTGATCTGAAACTTGCTATGTAGACCAGGCTGGCCTTGAACTCATAGAGATCCACATAGAGATCTGCCTGCCTCTTGTTTCCCAAGTGCTGGGATTAAAGGCGATGGATTACATATTTTTAACCTGTGCTTGAACTCACTGGCTGTTGACGAACAGGAACTCTTTTGTTTCATTCTACCACCCCTGAATCTAGCCCACTCAGGTTTTCCTACAGAGCCCTGTGCCTTTGTAGCTAAAGTGTGGTGGGTGTTGGGGTGGCAGCGGGTTTGGAGGGAATGCTCCTCTGTTAAAGTGGAACTTGGGATGGTTTGGCAAGCTGACTCTTGTCCAGAATGGTCTGTTATGATCTCCTTAAAGAAGCAAAAACTTGGGGCCAGAGAGATGGCTCAGCTGTTAGGAGCACTGGCTGCTCTTGCAGAGGGCCCGAGTTTGATGACCAGCACCCACATGGTGGCTAACAAGCCTGTAACTCCAGTTCCAGGGAATCCGATGACCTGTTCCGACCTCCGTGGGCATTGTATGCCACAGGTACACTTATATACATATGCAGACAATATACACATAAAAAATAAAAATAACAAAAATTTTTAAAAAGATGGAAAAACTCCTGTAATATACGAACACTTTCATCTTTTTGGCTGAGACAAAGCCTGTGGTCAGCAAGTCCCTCACAAGTGGTTCTATCAGCAGCAACAGTAGAGTTCAGTTTCCCTGGGAAACAGCCACTTTGCCTCATTCTTCAGGTTCCTTGCATCCCGTAACTGATGACACTATCTTCAAATCAGTGCTTTGCTAGGCTGGCCCAGGGTTTCTAAAAGTCAGAGCTTGGGAGCCTCTGAGCAGACACATGCTGTCCAAAGCTTCATGCTACTATCCTGGCTTAATTCACACATTTCTCTCTCCTGCCTGGTTCTTACAGGTGTTTGAGTTTAATTTGAAAATGAGATGACCCTCAGGAAAGTGCACTGCCCCCTGTTGTAATGCTGTTTAAGCGACCCCAACCCCTGAGACATATACCTGTGTAAGTTGCCCTCTGCCTGTGTGCACAGCTTCTGGGACATACTGTGTCACAGGATCCACCTGGAGAAGTTCTCTCACTATCTGAACTATGTCACATCTTAGGAAACATTTACTGGGAACGTAACTATCAGCAAACTCGTAAATTTTAATTAGTCATTAATAAATCAGCAAGGTGGACGGAGGCTTCCTTGTTTTGAATGCTGCCAGATGCGGCCCTTTGTATGTTAGTGTGTCTGTTAATATGTGGGCTGTTGTTAGAACTTCTTCGCTGTAGTAACTTCTGTTTTGCCAGGACAGGATTAATTTCTTTGGCTTTGGGAACCATGCACCTTGGGGTGGCTGATGCTGGGATCCCAGCAGTGAGCTTTGCATTATTTATAACATGGAAACCTTGGATTGTTAACCAGTAGTAGCATTATTCTTATAGAAATTAAACATTTTTGAGTTTTGTATAAGAAATGGGTGAGTTTGTTTCCTGCTGAATAACTTGGTTTTAATATGTCATTTCAGTTCCTGTTACTATGGCAGTGACAGCAGGGGCGACAGCCACCTTTCCTATGAGCAACCATACCCGGGAAAGAGTGACCGTGGCCAAGCTCACATTGGAGAATTTTTACAGCAACCTGATTCTGCAGCATGAAGAAAGAGAGACCAGGTATAGTTAAGGCTGGCCAAAAGCTTGGTCAATAAACTTTCGCTGTGATTGGATGGGAAATGGGATTTTCCTTGGTAATCTCAGTTTTGTGGCTCCTTCCTGGCTGTTTCTGACTTTCCTGCACTGACGGTGCACCTAGATGCTTGTTCTGTTTCCACGGAACAAGTTCCTGGGTTCCCAAAGTCTTGTGTACATATATTTGTAACATGTGTCAAGCAATGATTTAATCAAACCTTTTCTAGCTTTGACAACATGATATATCTTCATGGTTTTCTTTAGAGGAATGCTTTAGAAATGACCGACTTCAGTTGATAACATTCACAGTGCTGTGTATCAGTGGCTTCGATTCTTTAATTGAAGAATTAAAAAAAGAGTGGCTGTCACATTGCCTCCGTGAAAGTTACAGCCTGGTGAGGGTACGGGTGTGCCTAAACATGGCATGAGAGATGGAGGTTTGCAGTAGAGGGGGACCGAGGGAGGAGCGGTTGCTTTGGCTGTGGCCGTGGGAACGCTTCCGAAATGGTGATGACACCGAGCAGGGTTGTAAGGGAAGAGTAGTCTCCTATATCGTAGAAGGAAGGAGAGGGTAGGGGAGCAGGAGAGGGTGTGAGGAAGTCACCTTCCATTCAGGCACAAGAAATCCCTGCTCTCAGCATTCCGAGCAGCTGGTGATTTGCTGCATGGGGAATCTGCAAGATTTTAAAAGTAGAATTAAATGATCAGAGTGTTTCTCTGGAAGGCAGCTGTAACTGTGACTTGTAGTGTGCATGGGAGAGATGGAGACCTACAAGTGGGAAAGGCTGGGGATGTGGTCCAGCTTGAAGTAGGAGAGATGATCTGAGTAGAGAAGAGCTGATGAGTGAGAAAGATTGGCTAAGAAAGGCAGCAGTGTGAGAGCGCCGAGTCGGCACTGATTGAAATCTTACCGGCAGAGCCGGGTGGGGTGCGGTGGGGTGGTGTACCAGGGCTGGAGAAGAAGACAGGCCACTGCAGGTCAGACCCAGGTGAGGAGAGACTTAGTGAATAGAAATACTCAGAGAAGTTGGTTCAGAGGCAGAGTAGGACTATGTGAGGGCTAAGACATGAGTGGTAGTCAAGAGTGACTTCACTAAGATCCTGAAGGTCGAGGGGAACAAGACTGGAGCAGAGACAAACCAGAAGTACTGTTTACTGCCAGCAGAAATTCCCGAAGAGGTCAAGATGGCAAATACGTGGGTACATTGTGCAGGCACTCTCTGACTTCATGTTTAGGACCATGTGAACATGATACGCAAGCCTGGCATGGTGGTGCATGCCTGTAGTCCTAGCACCCAGGAAGCAGAGGGATTACAAGTGTGAGTTCAAGGCCAGTCTGGACAATAGAGCCAGACTCCATGGGGGGTGGGGGCGTGTAAAAGTGGAACAGGTTCAGTAGAAATTAGAATTTGGGTTTAAATTTTCTATTTTGGCCAGACATGGAGGCACTTGCCAGGACTTGAGAGGTAGAGGCAGGAGAATTGCAAGAAGTTTGAGGGCAGCCTGGCCTGCATAATAGGTTCTAGGCCAGCCAGAGCTATTCGGAACACAAACAGAATATTTGATCTCTTCCCAGACTAAGGATTTGTGCTCTGCTGATGCTGGGCAGTGCCAGTGAGCCCCACCTGGTCAGCCGCATGATCACAAGGGGAAACAGACAACACTGCTAGTCTGGGTTGCTAAGCCGTGATGTCTGGTAGGTAGATGCGTTCATGCACTTTGAAGTCATGTCTCAATCTATGCTGAATTTATTGGGATATGGCTATCATAAATCAAGGAGCACCGTACGAACCATAGAAATAGTGATGATGGCAATATGGTAGACATTTAAAAAGTAGAACGAGGCTGAAGAGATGCTCACTGGTTCAGAGTACCACTCTTCTAGAGGACCAGGGTTAGGTTCCCAGCACCCACATGGCACCTCACAGCCATCCCTAACTCCAGTTCCAGGGGGTCCAGTGGACTTGTCTGACCTCCTTGGGCACTGCACACATGTGATGCACTTACATACATGCAGGCAAAACACTCATACACATAAAGTAAATTAAAAGATAGAATTAAGGCAGGGTAGAGCAGTTGCCTAACATGTCTGGGGCCTGTGTGTCTGCACACACATGCTCACACAGGTATACACATGTACATACACGCCCACACACGAGTTGAAGCACACACATGCTCACACAGGTGTACATGCACACACACACACACACACACACACACACACACAAAAGAGTTGAAGCATTTTCCAGTGATAAAATTTAAGTCAAGAGGGAAGTAATTGGAATCACTGGGCCTTAACATAAATGACAATGCATGAAATCCAGTGCAGGGGCTATAAGAGGGTGCAGATGGGGAAGGGGATAAAGACTGTTATGGTGTTGTGTATGAAATACTCAAAAAGTCAGTAAAAAATACACAAAAAATTATTTTTTTAAGGCAGTTTCAAACTTGGTGCCATGGAAATCAGATTAGCTAGCGAGTTCCTGTTTTCTAAAGGCACACTGTAGGAAAACTTGTGATTTATTTTTGAGGTTTAATTAAGGATAAATGCATGAGCCTAATAAGGCGCTAACTAGAGGGAAGTGAGAGCGTTTGGAGGGAAAATCACTGTGATTACGTCAGGGGCAGGTTTGAGACATCATCTCATACTGTAACCAGGCTGGCCTGTATGACTTCGCAGTGCCCCTGCCTAAGCCTCCTGAGTGCTAGGTCACAGGTAGGCCACCATGCCCAGCTGGGGTTACAAGAGAAGTCATGGTTGGAGTTTCCTGTCAAACATGATGGGCATGGATAAAGAATTTTGCCAGCGTAAGGACGAGTTCATGAAGTGTTGACCTTGGCAAGATGGGATTTGACAGGTGGTCAGTCTGCCTGTGTAAACAGTCCCTCCTGAAAGGTGGCCTCCTGCTCCTGGGATTCATTCTGTAGAAAATCTGAAGCAGATCCACCTAGCAGTCCTAAGGACCCTCCCTGCACAGGGCAGGGAAGAGCAGGTGCTGAGAGCACGGTTCTCTCAAGGCCAGGCCTGAAGAATAATGTGTAAACAAAGGTCAGAACCAGTGACAGACCCTGCGGCGGATGCCTGAGTGAGTGTGGGAAGGTCACTGGGCTTCACCTTCTTTGTTGAGCTGCTGAGTTGCCCACAGGTGTCTGGTGCTATTATAGTGAATTTTGCATAGGAAAGAAAAGGAATTGATCTTAATCCTGCTTTAAAAGGAGCTTGTCAGGGCTGGAGTTATGGTTCAGCAGTTAAGAACTCTTGCAGCTCTTAAGAAGACCCGAAATCAGTTCCCAACACCCATGTTGGATGGTTCACAACCACCTATCCCTCCAGCTCCAAGGGATCCAATGCTTCCGGCCTCTGTGGACACCTGCACTCATGTGCACATATCCCCAGACAGACACACACCTCCATAATAATTTTAAAATAATTAAAAATAATTTTTTTTGTCTTTTTTTTGAGACAGGGTCTCCTTGTAGCCCCAGGTGTCCTGGAACTCACTGTGTAGACCAGGCTGGCCTTCAACTCACAGAGATCTGCCTGCCTCTGCCTCCCAAGTGCTGGGATTAAAGGTGTGCGCCACCACGCCTAGCAATAAAAAAATATTTTTAGAGGAGCTTATCTTTGGATGTATTACCATGAACAGCAGTTACCATCCTCGTTGGGGAAACCCAGAAGCGTTAGTCTTTGTTGCAGTCCAAGCTAATTAGGATGAGTTGTCCAGACTTATATTTAGGAAAAACCAACACCAGAGAAATCAGATACTGTTCTCTTAATGAGCTGCAGTGTGTGCCACAGCCCTCTCCCCAGTTACCCTATCTTCACTCCATCAGAAGTGTATAACCCAGCTAACTTCATGTTAAAAAAAAGGGAAAAAAGAAAAACCAAACAACTGAACTTAGCTGGAAAAGCAAATGTTTTGATGAGTGTTATTTTTCTGAACCTATGCTGTCCAGTATCCACAGAATTTTAATAAAGCACCTGCAGTTGCACTCAGTCTTTCCTTAGTTAGGAAAGTTAAGCTTCAGGTAGGAGACTTAGAGCAGTTCATTTTGTACTAAGTGAGAAAAGGGGCTCTGGTCAGCACGAGGGGCTAATGTCAGTTTGTATTTTGAGAAAGAGCTGTTCATGGTGAGTAGATGAATCTTGATGCAGCTTGAAAGATTTTCTTAGCATAGCATGCCGGAGTGATTCACTTGAATAAGTAAGTATGTATTCTTCTGGGGAAATAGTTAGAAACATACTTAAATTCTCAATATTTTTTTCTTTTGAAAAGGCAGAAGAAATTGGAAGTGGCCATGGAAGAAGAAGGGCTGGCAGATGAGGAGGTAAGGCGGCTGTCTGCTGCACTGAGCAGAGGTAGCACAGCGTTGCATGTCGGTGTCAGCCATGCTGAGGTCTCCATGGTGTGTCTTGCTTCTTGCTGTGTTGTACACAAAGCTACTGCCGTGATTGGCTTTGCTGCCGACTTGACACACCTGGGAAGAGGGAGCTTCAGTTGGGGATCAGATTGGCATGTGGCCATGTCTGTGAGGTACTTTCTTGGTGGTTGAGTGATGTGGGAGGGCCACATACCGCCCCTGCCCACTGTGAGTGGTGCCACCCCTGGGCAGGTGGGTTGAATAAGAAAGCAGGCTGAGCATGGGCAGAGGAACAGACCAGTAAGCTGTGCTCCTCCGTGGCCTGGGCTCTAGCTCCTGCCTCCAGGTTCCTGTCCTGCACTTGGGTCCTGGCTTCTCTCAAGGATAAGCTCTGATCAGGACTTGTAAGCTTTTCTTCCCCAAGTTGGGCTCGGTCGGAGTGTTTATCACAGTGATGAAGAACTAGCGAGGGGCAGCACCTTAGAAGGAGAGAGCTCTTTCCCCCCCCAAGAACATTTCTTCAGTGAATACTGTCTACAGTGCTCTGGTGTGTGAACCAGGCCATGCACGGGAGTCAGCCCAATGCTCACCCCTCAAGTTTTCCCTAAATACTTTTAAGGCATTTGTTTCTGCAGATGGGTGTCTCTGCCCCTTTGGACTGCCATACATTTCACTGATGAGTGACTGTCTGAGATGGCCTCTCCCTCCTATCCCTGGTTTTTCTGCACACTGGAAACCAGACCTGCTTCCTACCCTTCACTACAGTACAGGCCTCTTGAGCAGAGGCCTCTGTCCTCTAGCTTTGTCTCTTACCACCCACCCACAGCCGGGCCCACGCTGAATTGCAGATTTCCCTTCATATCCACATATCCGTCTCTGCCACTTGGAACTGTTTCTCCTCCCCACCCCGGTCATTCTTCAGGAGTTTTAGGTCAGCGTGCGTCACCCCACTAGGAACTCTAACCTAGTGCTCAGGTGATTGTCCTGCGTCTGCTGTAACACTGTTCTGTCCCTGTGGTAGCCTAAAAACATCGTCTTCCCAGAGACCACAAGTGCCACTGAACCTGATGCATCCCAGAGGGAGTCATGAGCAGTGCCTCCTTGCCTTCAGGGAGTCTACAGACCGGAAGGAGAGCGTGTATATTATGTTGGGGATGCGCACACATACATGCATGCCCAGGTATACATGGTAGGGACTGGACGTATAGCTCAGGACAGAGTGCAGAGTCCTAGGTTTGATCCTAGTAGGGCCCCCTCCAAATAAGTAAAAAAATGTATGTATATCATGGAAGGTAGCAAACTGAAAATACCCCAGTTACCCCTTCAGGGAATCAGAGACGGTCTCCGGGAAGAGGTAACAACTGTTTGGAATCTCAAGTCAGAGATATATGCAAATAGTGAATATATATGCAGAGTAGTGAACTTGTGCTGTAAAGTGAGCAGGAAGAGAAGGTTAAGGACAGTTGCCTGCAGCAGTGGAAGCCAGCCTCGGCACAGGTGATGAAGACGTGCCTTAGTTTCCAGCCGATGGAGTCACTCCTACATTACTTGAGTGTTTGGTCATCAGAAGAGTCTTAAGTTAAAGAGTTGACTTCCAGTGAGGGCCAAGCTGCCATAGTCTGTTTCCCCATCTTTGTGGTTGCAATGTTTATTAATGCTGGAGCGTTTTATGAAAGGTAGAAAAGGCAAACATTTTTATACTTAAATGTTATTATTTACATGAAGTTAGTGTTTCAAAAACTCATTTCATCTTTAAATTTTAGTGAGAAACTAGTAACTTAAGACTGTATCCTGGGGCTGGAGAGATGCTCAGCAGTCCAGAGCATTGGCTGCTCTTGCACAGGACCCATGTTTGATTCCCAGCACCTACATGGCAGCTAATAACTGTCTATAACTCTAGCTCCAGGGGATCCAACACTCTCTCCTGACCTCTGTGGCATTGCACGACACAGGTGCACTTACACACATGCAGGCAGTACACTCATACACAAAAATAAATTTGTACCCTAATCCCTAGGACAAAGTAAAAGTGAGTGCATCTTTCCGTATTTTTCTGATTAATGGTGTAGCTTTCTTATAGCTAATAATAACTGTACTGATATAGAAATCAAACACAAGTTCTTTTTTATTGCTTTTTTAAGAATTTCATACAATTTTAAAAAACATATTCAGAACCCTTCCCCCACCTCCTCTCAGGTCCCCTCCCCCAACCCTATTATTCCCCTCACTTCATGGCCTCTATTATTTTTCCTTAAGGCCTATCAAGTTTGTGTTCCGCAGATACTTGGCTGTAGGTCCAACCTTGGAATGTGGTCGGCCCACCAGCACCGCACCTTTAATAAAACTTGACTGCCCTTTCCCCACAGCTTTCAGTTGCCTGAAGATCCTCAGCTAGGGGTCGGGCTTTGTGCTCACTGTCCCCCTTGAAGCTGGTATTTTGTCTGGTTGAGCTTGCACAGATCTTGGACGTGCTGTCACAACCACTGTGAGTTCCTATGTGCAACTGCCCTGTTGTGTCTGGAAGACACAGTTTCCTTGAATTCAGCCACCACCTCTGGCTCTTAAAATCTTTATACCTCCTCCTGCAGTAAGCCCTGAGCTCTCGGAGGAGAGGGAGTGACGCAGGAGTCCCTTTAGGGAGGACCGCTCTGCAGTAAGCCCTGAGCCCTGGGAGGAGAGGGAGTGACACAGGAGTCCCTTTAGGGATGAGTGCTCTGCAGTCTCTTGTTCTCTGCACATTGACCAGCTGTGGGTCTCTGTGTTAATCATCATGTGTAGTAGGAAGCAGCTTCTCTGGTGGGCATGGAGAGATGCATGAATCTGTGGGTAACAGTAAGTTCTTGGGACTTGGTTGAGTACCATGTCCATTTAGCAGGGTGACAGTAGTAGGTTATGCCCTATGGCCTGTGACCACAGGTTCTTGGTCCTGATACCAGTGCCAAGTATCTCGTAAAGCGGCTTTAAACCCAGGCTGGTAGTGGTTGGTGGCTCCCACAGCACTCATGCCACTGTTACCCTCGTGGGCGTGTCCTGCCAGGCCCGTTGTTACTGTGGCTCTTGGTTCACAGTTGGGTTAGAGTAGTGAGTGCTTTTACCTTCTGATAGCGAGCTTCGCACCTGCCAGCACTCAAAGCCAGCAGAGCGGTCGGTGTCAGCTTGCTTTCTCCGTGCTTGTTCTGCGGCTTATGTATGTAAAACACAAGGTCTTAGTTTGAAGTCTAGAGGAAAGGCTATAGGGACAGAGGCCTATGCTGAGCATGGTGGTTCCTGTAATCCCTGCACTCAGAAGCTTGAGGTGGGAGAATCTCCAGTGTCCTGGACTACATAGCAACACGCGAGACTCTGTCTCAAAACGGGGGCAGGGGAATAGTAGTTGTGTTTTATAATATGTTTAATCCTTGTCTGTTCATGAAGACCCATTATTTTCAGTAAGAATCCAAAAGCTAGGCCTAGTCAGCCATGTTCCTGGTGACTGGCTTCAGTTGTGGGCACTGACAAGTAGGGAGCAGCTACCCTTTCACCTAGCCCAGCATGGCCAAGTGCTTGGTGTTCAAGAAAACCTGGGAGCTTGGACTTTTATACACAATCACTTGCTTTTTAAAGATCTGGAAAGTGATTAGAATAAAATCAAGTTGCAGTCCTGGTAAAGTCTCTGAAAGCTGAACACACTTCATTGCTTCCCCTTGGCACCATCTGGTGGGCATCAGCAATTTTCTTTAGTTCTTATAAATGCTTTGTAGAAAATGTCAACTCATTTTACTTCCAAAGTAGTCTGTGGTTCATAATGCTTAGTTTTAAAACTCCAGGGTTTTGTTCTGTAAGATATATTTGTCTTTTTGAGACTGGGTCTCCCTGCCCCATCTCCCAGCTAGCCTGGAAGTCACTGTATAGACCAGGTTGGCCTTGGACTCAGAGATCTACCTGTCTCTGCCTCCCGAGTACTGGGACTAAAGGCATGCACCACCACACCTGGCTTCCACCCCTGGCCTCTTTATGTGGGTTTTTGGGTTTGCGTGGCAGACATGATACCTACCGAGCTATCTCCCCAGCCCCAGTGTGGGTTTTCAGTAAAGTTCTGTATGATTGAGTCCAGCCTGGTCTACACAGTGAGTTCCAGGACAGCTGGGGCTACAGGGAGACCCTGTCTCAAAAAGACAAAAAAATAAAATAAAATAAATGCAGTTCTTTAATGAAAATCACTACCTTCACTGGTAATAGAAAACTGTCCATGGATCGTTGATGAGTGAGCCGTGAGAGCATCACACCACGTGCGGTCCGTAAAACAGTGTACCCGGAGAAGCACACCTGCTGCACCTGCGAATCTCAGAGCTTTGAGTACACTGTCTGCCGTACAGGAAGCTGAGGTCCACCATCCATTTGAAAAGAAATGGACTGCCATTCCAGCACTAGGGAGGCTAAGTAGGAGAATTGCCACAAGTTCAAGGCCAGGCACAGAGTGAGACCCTGTTTCAAAATACCAAAAAAAAAAAAAAAAAAAAAAAAAAACAACAAAAAACAAAACAAACAATAACCCCCCCCAAAAAAAAACTTGGCCATCTAAAGATGATTGGCCAAGCCAGCCAATGTGAAAAAAAAAAAAAAAAAAAAAAAAAAAAAAATGGAAGAAACAAAGAAAAGAAATCCGTCACGCATGGGTGATTATTTCTTAGGGGAGACCAAATCAGCAGCTCGTGCTGCAGAAGAGAGCCATGAAGTGGCATCTGCTCACAGATTCTTGTAGGAGAGGAACGGACGGATTAGCATGGAGATGCGCTTGCCTGTGGAGGTTCTGGAGTCCGTACCCTGAGCCATCCACAGCATGCTTTTCATCAGCTCCCTCTGGAGCACAGCGCTGACTCAAAGTGTGGAGTGGACTGTCCCTGGGCGATGCATGGTGCTGCAGGCAGGTTCCACCTGGACCCCCGCTGTTGAAGGGCTGTGCTCTGGCAGACTGTGAGCTCTCTGCTTGCTGCATTCTACAGCTGTTGGGTACTGGGTACTCAGTGAACTTGTTTTGTTTTGTTTTGACTTATTTATGGATCAAAAGCACATTTTATAAAACTGCATAATTAGGTCTTTTCTGTTCAGAGCAGACAGACCCCTACCATATCTAAACCCTACTGTAGTGTCGTAGAACTCACAAAAAAGAGAGATTCGGAATTGTCTTTCACATTCTTACATTCATTTAGTGTGTGTAGTTAGTACAAATGAAAGCAACCTTTTTTATTACTGTGAGGGACATGGTGCTATAGTGCCACCAAGTGGCCTTCAAAGGAGAAAACCACAGTCCTGAAGGTTAAACGACCTGCAGATAAGTGCAGTCCTTTTATTTTGAGACAGGGTCTCCTGTAGCCCCAGCTGGCCTTGAACTCACTCTGTAGACCAAGCTGGCCTTGCGTTCACAGAGCTCCGCCTACCTCTGCCTCCGGAGTGGTGGGACTAAAGGCGTGGGCCACCACGCCCGGCCTTGTGCAGTCCTTTTTAAAACTAACACCTAGCTACTAGGTCTGGATAGGTGTTTGAAGATGGAACGATTGTTGCAGCTTTCTTTCCTTTATTGCCTGGTTTCTAGCGTACACACACATGCACACAGACACACAAGCACACACTCGAACACACACACAAGAACTTGGACCTTCTCCTTCACTATTGCCTACTTAGGCACAGTACCACTGTGCTGGCACTCAGTGTTGGGTGTGAAAAGGCTGTTAATGGCACCTCAGTCTTATGTGTGTGGAGTATGATACAGAGCTTTTTAGTTTGCCCTTTTGACTTTTTTGTTTTCACACTGTCGTAATTGCCACCACTGATGGGTCTGTGTGACTTACATTGTGGGCCAGTGGGTAGCAGTGCCTGCTGCCAAACCTGACAGCCTGAGTTGGATCAGTGGTGGAAGGAAAGAGCCCCCTCTCCAAAAGTCGTCCTCTGACCTCCACATGCATGCACAAGCACATGTACACAAAATAAAAATGTAAATAACTTCATTGAGCTGTTTGAATGGGAGACAATTGCTTGATTTCCTCTTAATTCTGTTGAGGTATTAGAATTGTGTATTGATCTCACACATACTTCCAATTAATTGTTCACCAGAGTTTAAAACAGAGACGTGCAGGAGTAGGGCAGTGTGGTGGTTACACCTTGAGCTGCATCTGGGAGCGATGTTTCTGAGCTGAGCTGTTAACAGCCATGTGACGTGTTTCCATTATGCTGACCCCTGAAAGCTTGATGGGGTCTGTTGGACATGAATACGTTGAATGTTTTCACCTTATCTCCCACTTCACACCTCTACTAGGGACTGTCTGTCATAAACTTGACTCTTACTGGGTGAGGGGCAGGTGAGGTTCAGCACAGTGAAGCGATGCCTGTTCAAATGCAGTCTTCAGTGGTGCTCATCAACAGCTGCTACTTTTATGGGGTTTGTAGGATCCAAGTATTACTATGAGAGTACTTACTTTGATTTTTTAATGGCATTTTGTATATAATTTTTTTTGCAGTTTTGTGTTTTCAGAAAGGTATGTGACATTTCAAGCTGTTTCCTGAAATTTACCCAAGATTCAGTTCTGCTATACGTGCATCTCTGTGGAAACGCTGCCATTGTGTGACTTTTGTGTCATGGATTTCAGTAGTTGTGACAGAGCACCTTGGAAATTATAGAACTGAAGCAAAGTAGATTTTCTGACAAAGTAAAAATCAGTGTCAGAGAAGGCAGAGCCTTGTGGCTGATGCTGATCTGCTTAATCCCAGGCCTTGGAGGGCTGAGGCAAGAGGATTGTCATGAGTTCTAGGCCTGAGTTACTCTAGTAAGACTCTGTCTCAAAAACAAGTCAGTACCTACAAGTTAGTACATACAAGTCAGTACATACAATAAGTCAGTACATACAGCAAGTCAGTACATACAAAATGCACCTGCATTTTCTGACTTATTTTTATGAACAAAGTGACCATTCAAATGAAAGAGTGAGTTATATGTATCATACACAAAGATGAACTATTTCAGAGTCCATTTCAAGAATACAGACTTATCAGGTATTTATAAATGTTTTCATAATATTATTTTATTCTTTCCTTTGCTCACTGAATACTTGGTTTGGTAAATAGATTGTGGTACTAGTACATAGTCTATAAGACACTTCTGTTTTCATGAGTATTGTCTTTTAATATTATAAATGCCTTTGAACTGACTTTATTCTAAAATCATCCTTTTAAATTGTCTTCTTTCAATAGAAAAAGCTACGCAGATCACAGCATGCTCGCAAAGAAACAGAGTTCTTACGGCTGAAAAGGACGCGACTTGGCCTGGATGACTTTGAGTCTCTGAAAGTTATAGGAAGAGGGGCCTTCGGAGAGGTGGGCTGCTTTGTATGGGTAGCCACTCAAAAATAGATTTCTTAAGTTGTTTAAAATAGGTATTAAAGTAGATTGTAGTCACTGAGGATGTAGCTGAAGTGGTAATGTTCTTGCCTAGCATGCACAAATCCCTGAGTTCCAACTCCAGCACTGCAGAATTGGGGTGTGGTGGCTCAAGTCCGTAATTACAGTACAGGAGGCAGGAGGATCCAAAGGTCAAGGTCATCCTCAGATACTTAGCAAGTATGAGGCTAGGCTTGGATACATGAGACATTATCTCCCCAAAAAGTATGTGGGGAGTTTGTATAGCTTCCCAAAAAGGAATAAATCATTGTGACTCTTTTAATGCTTAGGTTTGCATTCTAGGTGCGTCTGGTCCAGAAGAAAGACACCGGGCATATCTATGCCATGAAGATCCTGCGAAAAGCTGACATGCTTGAAAAGGAGCAGGTATGTGCTCACAGGCCGCCTTGTGCACCTCACAGGCAGTGCCCAGGGCCGCTGTGACAGGCAGTGTCCGAGCTGGGATTTTAAAGAACATATCTTACTATGTAAGCTGTTAATTTGGTAGCCTACTTCAGTGTTTTTCAATTAGGTTTAAATCTTCTCCAAGTGTACAGCTTGGGCTCCTATTAGAAAAGAACACAGGCTGGGTGGCTTACACAGGAGAAGCTTGTTATGTTCTGTCCTGGGTCAGGGCTCTGGTAGGTTTTAGTTCTGATGAAGGCTCTTCCTGGCTGGCTGCTTCTCATGAGGCCCACCACATGGCTTTTCCATGGTGAGTGAGGAAGACCACACACACCTCACAGGACTGAGGGAGTCCCTTTGTGTAAGGACACAAGTCCCGTCCCCATGAGCTCATTGGACCTCAGTCACCTTTCAGAAGCTGACGTCATACTGGGAAGGTTGGGACTGCACAGGGAGTTTGGAGAAACTTCCAGTCCATAGCGAGGTCGTCCTGAAATATTTCCTTATCTGACTGCAGTGAGAATGCAGACAGCTCAGCACCCACAGCCCTGTCACACAGCAAGTAAGACTTTGCTGATCTGCATGGCTGCAAAGTCTCTTCACCTTTTCAGACATGAGAGAAGCCAGAGTGAACTGGTTCCTGTGATTCTCCGTAGTTAAAGGGACCGTGAACGCGATTATGTTGCAGTATTTTCCCACACTCCAGGTTCTTTCATGGCTGTTGGGGATGGATAACTGAGGAGGTTAGCTTGGAAATGTGCTGCAGTTATTTTTTCAGAACATTCTCATCTAGGTGGCTCACATCCGAGCAGAGAGAGACATCTTGGTGGAGGCGGACGGCGCCTGGGTGGTGAAGATGTTCTATAGTTTTCAGGATAAGAGGAACTTGTATCTAATCATGGAGTTTCTCCCTGGAGGTGGGTAGCAGAGTGCACTGGCCAGGCGCCCCTTGCTCTATACCGATGTTGTCGTTAGTTTACTAATGAATTTACTGCGTTTATAGTAATTGTTTTCAGTACTTATTTCCTTAATAATACAAAATGATTTGATCACAAATCATACCGTTTTGAAGGAATGTTTAGGCTGGTACATTTTAAATTCTCCCATTCTGTGTTCACTGTAACCAGCTGTACTGTCATGTGTGTAGAGTTAAGAACAAGGCAGTATACAAAAACCTGGTTTCCAGTGTGCTCAGTCCTATCTTCCCCAGAATTCATTTCTTGTCTTCACACCGGCTCTGCTCTGGTGTGATTCACATAGTGTCCACCCAGTGCCATTGCAGACCATGTGGCTCCGCTTCTGCAGTGGTGCGCTCGTGGGGCCACAGATGGTCAGAGGTGCACTGCTTGCTGACTCAGACAGAAGTCCATATGCACAAGGGAAGCTCTGGCAGAGTACTCCCCCTTTCTAGCTGGGCGTGATGACATACGCCCAGCTCTGGGGAGATGGATGCAGGAGGATGAGGAGTTCAAGGTCATCCTCAGCCACATAGGAAGTTTCAGGCCAGCCCGGCGTACCTGAGGCCCTACCACACACACACACACACACACACACACACACACGAGGATGAAGGGTTCAGGGTCATCCTCAGCCACATAGGAAGTTTCAGGCCAGCCAGGCTACCTGAGGCCCTACCAAACACACACACACACACACACACACGCACACACACACGTGCGTGCGTGCGTGCGTGCGTGCGTGCATGCGTGCCTTTTCAGTAACACAGTTCTTTGCCTTGCTCAGGTGACATGATGACCCTGTTAATGAAGAAGGACACCTTGACAGAAGAGGAAACACAGTTCTACATTTCTGAGACTGTTCTGGCAATAGATGCAATCCATCAGCTGGGCTTCATCCACCGGGACATCAAGCCCGACAACCTCTTATTGGATGCCAAGGCATGTGAGGAAACAGAGTCCTTGGGCTCTGTCATGTCGTGAAATAACAGCTGATTTCCTGACTGGAAATGGCCAGCAGCAATTTAGGTTGTTTTATTTTGGTGAACTCCATTCTTTTCACAGAAGGTGCAGTAGGACAAGACCAGCACGGAATGGCATCATCAAAGAGATGGCTTTACAAAAAATCTGTGTTCTGTTTTTTAAAATCATCCTCAAATATGTATGACTTTTGCATTTTTAGCTATATGAATTCCAAACTAAGAATTTTTATTATAACTGCATTTAAGAGAGGACTTTATAATAAGGTTCTCTTTTGGGTGGTTCTTTATGAGACAGGGTCTCTCTGTAGCCCCAGCTGGCCTGTAATGTGGCATGTAGACCAGGCTGGCCTTGACATCACAGAGATCCACCTGCCTCTGCCTCAGCCTCTGCCTCCCAAGTGCTGGGATTAAAGGCATGCAACATCACGCCCAGCAATAAGGTTCTTTTTTCAAAGTTAACACAATTTGCCTTACTAGAAATTTCGTTTTGTTTTGTTTTGTTTTAGGGACATGTAAAATTATCTGACTTCGGTTTATGCACGGGGTTAAAGAAAGCTCACAGGACTGAATTCTATAGAAACCTCACACACAACCCACCAAGCGACTTCTGTAAGTGCTCTTTTCCTCTGGTTAAAGTATTGTAGCTGGTTGACTTTAGGACCGTGAGGGAGTGACGGTGTTCTCCCTTCTTCCCCCTGAACTCACCATGTGTTTCAGATGCAGGCTGTGATCGTCTCTGTCAGTTTCCCTGATCACATTCTCTCTTGTTGACGTTAGCGTTTCAGAACATGAACTCGAAGAGGAAAGCAGAGACGTGGAAGAAGAACAGGCGGCAACTGGTGAGTCCTCAGTCCTAAAGCCTCTGCTCCTGGTCAGGGTGTGATGGGACGGGACCTTTCTTGGCCCAAGGACTTAGGGTGTCATACACAGTGGCTAAAAGTCACCAAAGATCGACCTGGGACTGTGGCTCTTGAGCTCTTGTCTCATGCTAGTGTGGACTAAAGACCCAAACACTTGTGGGAGGGCACATGGCAGAGGCCAGCTATGTTACGGAGGACTGCAGAAGAGCGAGAGACTCTCCCAAGCGGAGGGGGAGGGGTTCCCGAGAGAGGAGAGCTGTTGCACGCCTTCATCCAGGGGTTTTTATAGGCCATTGTAGACAGTGGACAATGGTGGAGGGATTGCTATGAGACTGTTTAGTTCTCTGGGCTATCCTGGGCCTGAGTCAACCAAGACCCACACGTTCTGTGCATTCCCCAGGCCCAGCCAGGGAGATGCGCACACTTAGAGGTGGTTGACGCACCATCTCTCCATCTCTGAGTCTGTCTTTGTTAGTTACGACTGTTTGTTAGCTGTTGGGCACTTGGCCATCTTGTCACCTGTAGGTCTCTCCCTCCCCTTGTGGGCTGTTGGCCACCGACCCACAAGAACAAAGGAAGCAGAAGCAATGAACAGGGTCAGGACAGCCAGTGAGCAGAAAAGAAAAGACCTTCCAGGAGACAGCTTCAGTGAGACAGCTCGTTTATTCAGTGGGGTCAGGGAAAAATAGAGGGTGGAGACAGTAGCCAAAGCCTCACCTGATAGGTGTTCATAGTGTGCTTTATTTACATGTGGTGTGAGGACCCTGTCATCTGGCTATAGTGCAATGCCTAATTGTTATAAATAAAAAAACCTAGGGGCAGCTTTTTGCAGGCATCTGTGCTGAGGTCATGTTCCAAATAAGGCCAGGCATCTGTGCTTGGAGACACTTTCCAAATAAGGTCAGGCAGAGAGCAGGAAGCCCCTGCGCTGAGAGAGTCCTCCATACAGTGCTGATCTCCTTAGAGCTATCCAGACATGGTGGACTGCAACCTTAGCAGCAGGGTCCCCCAACATCTCCCCCTGTTTTGTTTTACAATGGAGAAGTGTCATCACAAACTTTAAGAGCCAACTCATCTATCTCGGGAGAATCCAAAGTCTGATCATTGACCATGACCTGATTGGTGGTAATCTTTGCAATAGTGGTAATTTGTCAGTGAAGAAATTGTGTGAAACAGGGAGCAAGCATCAAAGTGACACACGGCATGATCAGGAGGCCATTGATACTGTAACACTCCCCCTTGTGAAGAGGTAACCCTAAAATCTTTTTGGGATAAGAGCTCCCAAATACTTTTGACATTTTTGGCCTTTGGGACAGAGTACTTTGCTAAAAGGCCCAAGGACATTTTTACTTTTAGCCAAGAAAGAAAGTGGCTACTTTTCTTTGGGGTCTTTTTTCCCTAGCTGCCTAGCCAATTTCTATCTCCTATTTTTATCACATTACCCTCTGAAGAGGCTAACCCAAATTGCCAATAGGGAATTGGGACACAGACCACTCTGGCTTCTTCCATGCTGAACAGGGATGCAGAGTGAGGCAATTGGGGTACACCCTTCAGTGGGTCTATCTAAAAGACTCCCAAGCTGCATAACTCTTAACTATGGGGAGAAAAGGAAGGTTTGTGACTGGTGCCAGGGAGATGTGAAGGAAAAGTAAAGGCAAGAGTAGTTAGTATTACAATTTTTAGACAGGGAACCAGAAGATGTCCAAATTAAAGTCCATTGGAATTTCTTGATGAGGGCTTCCAAAAGCATCCATCTAATGGGTTCCTCCTCATTTTTCTTTTGCTTGTCAAGGCTGGACCCTCAGGGATGTAAAGGTGTGCCTGGAAACCAGATGGTGACCCTCTGTGCTGTTGAGTTCATTTTTTCCTCAACCCAAGCAGTTGCAGCTTTGTATCCAGTACAACTTCTCAGTGTCTTAAAGATGCTTTTAGTGGAGCTGGAGAGGTGGCTCAGCAGTTAGGAGCACTGACTGCTCTTGCAGAGAACCCAGGTTCGATTCCCAGCACCCACATGGTGGCTACGAACCGTCCTTAACTCCAGTTCCGGGGAATTCAAAGCCCTCTTCTGACCTCTGTGGCATTGCATGACACAGGTACACTCACATACATGCAGGCAATACACTCATACACATAAAATTAAAATAATAAAAAAATGGTTTTAGCTGTGCATTGAAGAGGAAAACTTCATTTCCACTATTTTTTTAAATGTGACACTTTTAGATCAGATTTTACTGTTGAGAAAAATATTGCAGTATTCCTGTTTTTAAAGGCGAAACTGAATACTGCTTAAAAACTTGACTGAGGGTCAGGCGATGGATGCTGTAATCCCAGTACTTAAGAGGCTGAGGCGGGGGAATCTTGAGTTATGAGACTACCCTGGGCTTCATAATGAGACCCTCTCTCAAAAAAATAAGTAGGGAGTTGGAGAGGTTGCTCAGTGGTTAAGAACACTGACTACTCTTATAGAGGACCTGGGTTTAGTCCCTAGCACCCACATGGTAGGTAACAACCATCTGTAATTCCAGTTCCAGGGAATATGACACCCTCTTCTGGCCTGCACTGGCATTGTATAACACAGGTCTACTTACCTACATGCACCTAAAACACTCGTACAAATAAAATATAAATAAGTTAAGGGGTTGGAGAGACGGCTCAGTGGTTAAGAGCACTGGCTGTTCTTACAGAAGACCCAGGATCAAATCCCAGCACCCACATGGTGGCTAAGAACCATCCTAACTCCAGTTCCAGGGGATCTGACACCCTCTTCTGTCCTCTGTAGGCACTGCATGACACAGGTGCATGTTCATGCATACAGGCAATACATACATACATATAAAATAAAGATAATAAATATTTTTTAAAAATATATAAATGAGTTAAATAAAAATACAGCAGAACTTCTTCCTTCTACAGTGTTCGTACATATGCAGCAGCTCGGGGCTGTGGGCTGCCTTTCTCATGGCCAGCAGTCACCCTCTCAGGTCGGTGGGTTCCCAGGGAGAAGTTGAGATGAGTTCATTGGTGTTTGGAGCAGGAAATTGCTTCGGCCCAGTAACTGTCAATCATGTCCTTTCCGGGATAAGAAGACAGAATCTGCTATCGTACATTTTCGTTGGCCTTTCATTGTGAATGAGTGGGGCCTCTCATTGACAGCCTTGAAGAAGTCATTTTTGCAGAGTTTGTGTGAACTGAGAATAAATCCACAGAGCCTCTCACCAAATTCTCTGGCATGAAGTTATGCTGAAGTGCCTGTAGTTTACAAAGCACCGCTCTTTTCTGGCTTGTTACCAGATCACACTGATAAGCACACTGTGCTCATCAGGTGAGCACAAGCTGAGTCTCAGGCAGCCAGGAACATGTTAGTAGTGAGAGGGGAGGGTAGGCCCACAGGCTGTGTCTTTTGTTTCCTTTGACTAAGGGACCCTTCATGGGACCAGAACCTTGTATTCTATGACATTGTCTGACTCGGTATCTGCCAGTAAGCTTTATCTGCAATAATAATGAAACTGTGCACAGTGCTCTTTCCTGTAATAAGCTCATCAGTACTTGTAAGATGCTCAGATGTCACGTTTGACAAGCTGCTCCTTTTAGGCATATTCTACCGTCGGGACCCCAGACTACATCGCTCCAGAAGTGTTCATGCAGACCGGTTACAGCAAGTCGTGTGACTGGTGGTCACTGGGAGTGATCATGTATGAAATGCTCATAGGTACGTTCCGGCATTCATTTATGTGCATGATGCACACATCGCCTTTGCCGTTGTCTGAACACATGACTGCTGTCATGGACAAAAATAGGTCAGCTGTTTTTAACCTATTTCTCACATTCCTCAGTGTTAAATACATTGTGATAAATTCCAGTGAGTTGTCCGGGGACCCTGTGGCAGGGAGGGAGATCTTTAACTACCTGGGCTCCCTTTATCAATTCTATCTGCATAGCTTTTGGGTAAAACTAGGAGGTGGGAGCCTTCAGTCTTTATGACCTGTATCAGAAAGTCGATTCAAAGTTGATACATGCTGCCATTATTTTATTTTTAAATAGAACATTCAGGTTGTTTGGGGTTTTTTTTTTTTTTGTGGGTGGCATATGTCCAGTGAGTCTGATCAAATTGATCACAAAAACTGATAAAACTTTTCCTTGACATGTAGGCTATCCACCTTTCTGCTCTGAAACACCTCAAGAGACATACAGAAAAGTTATGAACTGGAAGGAGACACTAGTATTTCCTCCAGAAGTACCTATCTCTGAGAAAGCCAAGGACTTAATTCTCAGGTTAGTGGTTCAGTTCCTGGACCAGCGTCACTCGGTGTCATGACACCTCCAAGTACCTGAAGATCAGGGTCACTTTGAGGTGGGGCAGGGGGTGAGGTGGTGGGAATTACCACTGACAGATAGTCAGGGAGGTCAGTAAGAAAAGGCTTCACAAACGCAAACTGCAAAAGACGTTTGGGGGAACTGGGTTAAGAAGAGTATTGGGAGCACAGTGCCACGGAACACGAGGATCTGTTCAGCAGCAGTTCTGCCAGGACCGTCCCATGCACCTCTGCAGCCGAAGGGTCTCGGTGCATTAGGGCACCACGTGAGCAGCCGGCTTCAAACTACACAACCTTCGACCCAGCAGCTCTGAGAATTTATGCAGGTAATGAGGCACAGGAAAGAATTAGCATGTTTCTTCCGTTATTTCGGTTGTGAACAATTGGAAATCATGTAAATCTTCAAGCACAGGACAGAATAAATAATGTGCCCGTGTGCATGGTGCAGAAAAGTGATTTGCACTCAGGATGTTAACTGAATAGAAGTCTTGAAATAGTCACTACTGTGCAACACAGGGTTTGTAATCTAAGAGATGAGGAGGAAATGAGTTCAAAATGCTCCCATAGTTGTCTCTCGGCAGTGTAGCTACAGGTGATTTGAGTTCCCCAGTAAACATGGTTAACTTCAATAAGCAGATTGTAAGACTTCAAAAACCATGTGAAGGGGCTGGAAAGGTGGCTCAGCGGTTAAGAGCACTGACTGCTCTTGCAGAGGACCCTAGTTTGATTCCCAGCACCCACATGGTGGCTGTGAACCATCCTTAACTCCAGTTCCAGGGGAATCCAAAGCCTTCTTCTGACCTCCACGGCCTTGCATGACACAGGTACACTCACATGCACGCAGGCAATACACTCATACACATAAAATAAAAATAATAAATAAAATATTTTAAAAAATTGAAGTAATGCGGCCGGATGCAGTGTTGAGATGCAGCATGGATGATCGTTTCTGCTTCCTCTTCTAGATTCTGTACTGACTCTGAAAATAGAATTGGGAATGGTGGTGTGGAAGAGATCAAAGATCATCCCTTCTTTGAGGGTGTGGACTGGGGGCATGTCAGGTATGTTCCAGGGCCTGGGCTCAGAAAGATGAGCTTGTGCATTGGGTAAGCAGTGTGCCTCTGCATCCACTAAACGCAGGAAGCACGCTGTCTCCTCCCTAAAAGGGCGCCCACAGTGCTAGATCTCCACCTTAGTAGCCAGGACTGCTCCGTCAGGGTACTGTAGGGGTACTGTGTGCCCAGCACTTCACTGCACCTTCCCACAGTACCACAGCCAGTCAGTGGGTGAGCTGGGCCCAGGCACATCAGGCCCTGGCACTCTGATTCTGGAAGCAGCCACAGGACAGGGACCTGCCTGCCCAAGTTCCTCCTGCTACTTACAGACAAGGAACATTGAGTCACAGAGGTCCAGGGCTGCTCCTGCAAGTCTAGTAAGAATAAACCTGGTAAAAACGCTGGTGCTACACACCTTTGATTCCTGTACTCAGGAGGCAGAGACAGGTGGATCTTTGTGAGTTCAAGGCCAGCCTGGTCTGCCTAGCAGTTCCAGGTCAGCTGGGGTCACAGGGAAACCCTGTTTCAGAGACCCCCCCCCAAAAAAAAATCTGGTAAAAACATGTGTAGTGCATGCTTTTTTCATAATTTGGTAGATTTAGCACTAAAAGATCCTTTAAATATTTGTTGAAAAAAGAAATAACAGTTGATAAGGAACTGAGACTCTGCAGGTAAAGGCATCTGCCAGCAAGCCTGACAACCTGAGTCCTATCCCCAGGACCCACCTGGTGGGTGGAGAGAACCAACTCCTACAAGTTGTCCTCTGATCTCCATACTTCATGCATGTGCATATGTGTACACACACACACACACACACACAGAATAAATACATTTCTTAACTGACAACACCTCTTAACTGTTTCTACATGTAAGTGTTTTAGCATAAGAAGCATTTCATGGATAGGGTTTCTTTTAGCCTAATGTCTCTGGTTCCTTTGAAATGTTTGTGACTGAGAAGGCTCTGCATTCAGATTTTATCACAAATGTGCAGTCCTGGGCTGGAGAGGTGGCTCAGCGGTTGGGAGCGTTGACTGCTCTTGCAGAGGACCCAAGATTGATTCTTAGCACCCACACACACGGTGGCTGGCAGCCATCTGGTCCCTCTTCTCTCGGACACTGCACGATACAGGTGCACTTGCATTCATGCGAGCAACACACTCATACACATAAAATAAAAATAATGCATAAATAAAATGATAACCCAAATATGCAGACCCTTCCCCTTTGTGTCCCTTGTTCTGCAAATGCCTTAGCCTCTCTTAATCTTCTACTTGAACCCTAGTCCTGACTCAGTCAGGTGGACCCTCATGTGTCCCACATACTTTATGTGGTTATACAATCTTTCGAATGCTAATTCCTTCTCTTTTCCTTTAGTTGGCTCCTGTTTTTTGATCTAAAAAAAAAAAAAAAGCATGAGGCGTTGGGATTGTGGCTCAGTGGTGGAGCATTTGCCTAGCGTGTCTGATGCCCTGAGTTCTCTCCCAATACTGCTTCCCACTTCCATGCCCCAAAACAGCATGAGAAAATCTTCATACTAGAAGTGTAAAAATTCCAAGTAAATGAAATATATATATGCATATTTTGGTCTTTTTGAGACAGGGTCTCCTCTGAAGCCCCAGCTGACCTGGAACTCACTATGTAGACCAGGCTGGCCTCAATCTCATAGAGTTCCACCTGCCTCTGCCTCCTGAATGCTGGGATTAAAGATGTGTGTCACCACATCTGGCTCAAAATTATTTTAGTAAAAAATTGACTCAACTACTTGGAAAGCCACTTGGCTGTTCTCGAATCCACAGTAAATGCCCTTGGACTTTTTAATGTCTGTAAAGTAGTAAGCAGGACTTTGAAGAAGAATGGTTTGCTGTAAAGAGTCTGAAAACATTCACCATGGCATTGAATTTCTGTGCACAGGGAGAGGCCGGCTGCCATCCCCATAGAGATCAAGAGCATTGATGACACCTCAAATTTCGACGACTTCCCTGAGTCTGACATCTTACAGCCAGGTGAGACGCTTTCACAGCATGACTGACACATGCGACATTTCACTAGGAAAGTTCCTTCGTTCTCAGTTACTTTTTCTGTCTTTCTAGTGCCAAATGCCACAGAACCAGACTACAAATCCAAAGACTGGGTTTTCCTCAATTACACGTACAAAAGGTTTGAAGGGCTGACTCAGCGTGGCACCATCCCCACCTACATGAAAGCTGGGAAGTTATGAATGAGATTCATGGTTGCCCACAACCAAGAGAACTCAGGTAGCCATATCCTAGGCTGGCTTGGCGTTGTACTGGACACTCAGACATTCCCCAGACGGTGGTGCTTACAGACTGCAGAGGACGTTCTGCAGGGTTGGAATTTCTGAGACTACAGAAGTGGTTGGCAGTGCCAGCTGGCTTTTTTCATATTTTATTTTGTTAACTTTATCATAATGAAGGTACAGGAATAAACAGAACGGATGTTCCTTTCTACCTGCTCTGCCTACATGTGTGCTGTGCTTTGAACCATAACCCTCTAACCCAGCCAGAAGAACCACATATCACTGGCACCGTGGGCCAGCCTGAAGTGACCTGCTGTGTTGCTGCTTCACTACAAAGCCCCCTGGGTCTAGATCTGTCAAAGCCATCTTCCGTAGTCACTGTTAGCGCATTCACAATATCGGTTTGGACATCTGTAGACTATATGTAAAGCCAGTTTCCATAATGGTTCTAAGAATTTAGAAATAACGCTGACTTTGACTTTAACAATGCATATGTCATCAGGTTACCCCATCGTAAGGAGGGACAAGCTTCTCAGGACGAGCAAGTTCAATGCCTTCGTTCAAGCACCCTCCAAGACTACTCACTGCACTGAGAAATACTGATGACCTTTATTTATATACGCATTCTGTAATGCTTAGGGAGATGTACTGTATTAGATCAAGTGTAAAGTTGCTTTTCTTGTGACAAGAGGACTTCTTTTTAACAAGAAGACATGGCACTACTTTAATTTGATTATTGTGAGTTGAATCTCAGAAATGACCATGGAAGCTGCTTGTAGAACCTGGTGTATTTTTATTAAACTACTTTTTTAAATGTCAGACTTCTGATCATGTCAGTGGACTTAGAGTGAACAAAGAGCTGTTTGATTTTCCAGAAAATCCTTACATACCACAGCTGGTAACCTTTTATTTCTTCTGAGAAACATTTCCTTTGCCAGTACTCACTTTACTGTGCTGTTATTTCTTATGTTCCGAATGTACCAAGATCCTGCTCAGTGGCTGATGACAGTGAGTGGAATTCTGTTTTCCTGGGGGACGCTGGGCTTCATTGGCCAGCCCTGTGACAGGCCGGCCCTGCTTGGTTAGCTTGTGGATGGCTAACACCCACAGTGGAATCAAGGAAGCAGGTGCAGGCCAGGTAGGCATTCTAGAGGAGATGTCAGCATCAAATGCTTGGGGTTCCCCTATGGGTTAAGTCATTGCTTCTTGCTCAACATTTTAATTCTAAAGCAATTTTCAGAGGAGCTTTGGTTTCTTGGGTTCTAGTTGAGAAATACTTGATCAGAGAGCAGTGTTAGCGCTGTCATCTGAGATGGACGCCCAAGTGATGGCATCTTCCTTAAGGGGACTGAGCAGTGTGCTGAGCAAATCTCTGAAAGTTTTTATAAATGTTGCTGCAGGGTGACCACACACATACACACATGTGTATACACACACACACACACACACACACACACACACACACACACACGGAAATCCATTGGGTCTCTTAAGGTATCTGGTGAGCACTGACTAAGCCCACTCGGCGAGTACTTATCACCTGTTAACCTGTAGCCCATCCCCCTTTGTTCAGTCTGATCATGGCTGAGTGTTTAGAGAGGGAACTTGAAAACTGTTTATCTCAGCTTCACTGATTATTTTATTTTTAGCTGCCTTTAGTTTCAAATGATTTCTTTAAAGTTAGGAGATTTTATCACTGCAGCTCATCCTGTTTTAAAGAGATTTTAGTGAGCAGAAGTCCCTGATTACTAGACATTTTATCTTTTTTTTTTTTCAAAAAAGCACTTAGTATTATTAGCAATGACTGGGTTAGCTATGCGCCATCCCCACCGTCTCTAGTTCACTGTGGTACCTACTGTAATGTAACATGCCATTGACTCAGGTTGAGTGGAGGTAGAATGGATTTGACACAGAGGAGATGAATTGCTCCAGCTTATTTTTCAGTTGCCTAGGAGCAGAGCACTTTACTTTTCTCTCTCTCGTTGGGCTGCTCAGGAAGCAGTAGAGGTGGACTTCCTGGTGGGGAGGGATGTTAAGGGAAGGTTGTTAGCCTCTCTCCTTCCCTGGAGTTAATGAGATTCACAATCTGGAGGGACTTCTATAGAGCGTTTCCTAAGTGCCTATATAAGAGCAATTAAGAGAATATGTCTACCCCTTGGAAACTTAGAATTTGAGTCATGGTGCAGTTTAACCAGATAATTTGCCAAGATCCCTTGAGACCAACTTTTTCTCCCTTTCCTATTTTCCATCTTTCAGGTGAATCGTGCCATTTAAGTGACAAACTCTGTCTAGTCAACTGGGCATGGTGGCATTTTCTTTAGTCTCTATTTTGAATCAGGAGAGTTATTATAAACGATGTGATTTTTGTTTTTTTAAGTATATAGAAAGCCTGTATAATTCAGATTTATTGATTTCCTTATTTAACATAGACTGGCTTTTTATTAAAAACCTTTATATTGCTCTGCTTCCCTGGGCTTGCACAACCTGCCAGCCTCTCTCCTGGGTAAGTCCATTGCACCATCCGCGCCTTGACTCCCCCAGCCTCATTCACCCTCCCACCTCCCCTGCCCGTCTCTCCTAGCCTGGGTACTGTCCCATTCCTTGTCTTGGCGCCCCAGAGACTGGGGGAACCCACTGCTTCCTGATCCTTCGCATCCAGACCAACCCACTTCCTTCTCACAGTCCCCACTTCCTTCTCACAGTCCCCAGGAGCTGTCTGGGCCTGGTCCCGCCCTCACCTCTCTCTGTTTCCCTGGGCTGGACAACTGACCAGCCTCTTTCCTGAACACTGGGGCTGACCTCTCGGCTTCCTGATCCTTTGCATCCAGACCAACCCAGTTCCTTCCTGCAGTCCCCAGGAGCACTTGGGGCCTCTTCCTGCCCCCATCTCCCTTTGCATCTCTGGGTGGGATGGCCACCACCTGCTCGAGACCAGCACCTTTCCTGGGCCAGGCTCCCAGGCCAGTCCAACCCCAAATTCCTGAGGACAACATCTTTCCTGGAGGGATCCAGACCTTAGGAGAAAGCCTGAGAGCATCTGATCCTCATCTGACTTGGGC